CAAGGTTGATGTGAATTACCCTTTCTTTTGCCTCATGTTTTGAAATCATGTCTGGTTCTCACAAAACAGAAATTTAGGGACACTGGCTTTGCTTGTTTGTTTGTTTGCTTATCCATTTTTAGCTTTTGTAGTAACCTGAGCGCTCCAAGCAGCGCATAATACATTAGAAACAGGAAGTACAGACAATGAAGCACTGAGAAAAACAGCTCCTAAAGAAACTAAGATAAAATGAGCAACCGTTAGTAAAAACACTGCAGCACACACTCAAAAAAAAAAAACCACCTACAGATGCTTGTTGTGGGTTTTTCGGGCTCTTTGGCCGTGTTCTGTTGTTCTTCCGGACATTTCGCCAGTCTCTGTGGCCGGCATCTTCAGAGGACTGGAGTAGAAACTCAGTCCATGCTCTTCCAAAGAGCCCGAAAAACCCACAACAACCATCAGATCCCGGCCGTGAAAGCCTTCGAGAAAACATAAAACTACAGATGTTTGATCCTTCTTTCAAACTCTGTTTTGCTATCACCTAACAGCTCTGTGTCACAGAGTTCCACAGTTTACTTAAATGTTCTGTGAAGCAGTGCGCTAACAGTTCAAGCATGCAGTACTTTCCCAAGTTCTCTTTTATCTGGGCTCCTTTTCATAGATTTCAGTGCTCTCTGAAATATTCAGTATTCTGTCTAAAATGAAGAACACTTGCTAAATACCTTGTGCTCATCAATTTAAGTTATTTGAACTCAACAAGATATCAACATATGGATTTAAAAAAAACCCCTAAGATTCCTCTCCATCGGAAAGCAAGGTGGTTTTTTGACCCGTGGTTTTTGTGTGTGTGTGTGTGTGTGTGTGTGTGTGTGTGTGTGTGTGTGTGTTAAGGACTCCATTGAATGTGTAAAACATACACAAAACAATTATTTTCTTCTTAAGAAGCAAAATGCACAGAAAGCAAGCACAGAAGGATTTATTAAGAAAAGCAAGCAACCTATCCATGGCTTTTGAGCAGTCTTTCCATTTTGTGTGAAGGTTGCACTAATTTTACTCTCAAAATCTTCCTTGCAAATGAGGGGAGCGGTGGGGGAAAAAATCACCTAGTCCTCACAGGCAAGAGGAGAATACGGTGATTGCCTGACCACTCTTACAAGGATTTATGTTCCTGCTTCTTAACTGTGGACCAAACAACCTTACCTTATATTGTGTTGGCTAAATATGTCCTTCCTGTTTGGTTGTGAACCTCGAGGTGTGGTGGTGCTGGAAGTGGGCCAACGAGGAAGGAACATCTTCAACTAAAGAGCCATTGAAGGTGACATTGGGTGGAGGAGGTAAGATCTGCTCTGACCCATACGTTCCATTGACTGATCAAAGTGCCCCCCTCTTTTATAGCCAAACAAGCCAAAGCGTATGTTTAGGATATGCTCATATGCTTGGTGTGATCCTGAATCTCTGGGATTGCAACGAATAAGCTTGTATAGCATTGCCCTCCCTTTGTGATTTTGGCATGGCATTCGATGAAGACAGAGACTTTTCATTAGTTGATCACCAGACAGGCAGCCTCTTCACTCATTGCTATAAATAGCTATCTTGCTGCAGTATTTATGATTCCCCATAGTCAGAAGCATTGTTCTTATGTCTCCTGTCAAGAATTTTCCCTGCTTTCTAAGACAAGCGTACAACGGCCCGGATGGTAGATAGAGGTTTCCCCTTGAATTGAGATGTGGCTGGTCAGATTAAGGTTTAGAAGACGAGAGAGTATCTGAGGCATCTGCCTGAATATATTTGGGGTAGCCCTGCAGAGGGCTGCGGGTTTTAGCAGGTTTTGTGGAGAATCGATTCCCATTTTGATGAGAACTTACTGAATTTACCCTTTGTATATCAGTGAGTGAAAAAATAAATTAGCCTTTGGTGTTCACACTTCCTCAAATTTTAGATGGAGTTTTCTAAACAAATGCGCTTTTAGGAAAATATGTATAAAGTACAGTACGTGTATTAGTAGGAGGGGCTGACGAAATAGGATGGAACAGAGCTGAAGACATTGGCAAATGGGAGACTGATAGAAACCCAAGTTGACAGAATCATCCGTCTATAGTTGAGTACAAATTTTGTTTCACCCTAAGTGTCTGGAAGGAGACAGACATTTGACTGGCATGGAAATTTGCTAAGGGCTTCCCCCCTTAGGCAGGTTCACGGCCTCATTTTCAAAGGCCAATAAAATTGTTGCCAACGTGCTCTTCTTAGCAGGGTTGTTGTGAGGATGATCGTAATATGGCTTAGAAAGCAGTGTACGAGAGTGGAGTTCTATACAACAGAGTTTCAAGATGCCTCCCGTAAAATGTCTGCTGGCATCGGCTTCTTATTTTATGGATATTGTGGGCCAATCTAAAGATGTTGGTAGCGATGCAAGAAGAGTGCTATGCAAACCACAATGTGTTTTGTCAGAGAAAATTGGGGCACTCAAAATTACTGGCAGTCCCTTCATCCTTGTAGATGCTTTTCACAATTTCCGAGATGTGGAGGTAGCTCTAGTTCTCTTTATTTAAATGTTAGTTTCCTTCCTTGTGCCAGGAATGTTATTTATTCATTTGATTTCTGCCCTGTAGTGTTCAGTGCTGTCAGGATAGCAGAGGATTCAGGGGCTGTGGAATGGAAGAAAGAAAGAAAACAATTTTGTCAGATTGCTTACGTAGGCCTGTGTGATCCTTTGTACAAGCCCAGTGTGCACAAATGATGATAGGAGACAGATTTCTAAATGGAGCTTCATCTTTCTTCTGTATTGTTTGTAAGTAAGGACGAGAGCTGCTTTAGATGGAAAAGACTTTCCAGATTCTTACCAGGCTGTGTGAGGTGCTGTGCTGCCAAAACTAGCACTAGAGTTTCGTAACCCTGTTCTGTTTTTTATATTATTATTTTATTATTATTACTACTACTACTACTACTACTACTACTGCTACTGCTACTGCTACTGCTACTACTACTACTACTACTACTACTACTACTACTACTACTACTACTACTTGGAGAAGAGGGTGGACTAGGAAGGATACAAAGCTGCTGTTATATGGTCAGGCTCTTGTTAGTCCCTCCCAAAGTTCCTGTCAACAGCTCTTTGATGACTCCAGGTTAGGTCTACTCCCACCTCTGTTCTGAGAGATGCTAAAATTTAACTCAGAGGGGCGCAGATGCATTGCCGCAAAACCGAAGACCCAAATGTTTTTGAAGAAAAAATGTGTCCATAAGGCCATCACACAAACTGTTTCCCCTCTTGCTCATGGTCTGTTGTGTGACCAAGGTCGTGTTTGTTTTTTTCCGGACAAATGGATGCAGACTCACCCAGTGGACTGCTAGCTGTGGGTAGGATTGTTTGCCCCATTGCAGTGCAGAGGCCCCTTAGGATTCTGGCCAAAGAATCTTCCAGCATTTTAATAGCTGTAATGATAACCATATGCCGTCCAGTAAATTTTGACTTATAGCAACCCTTTTCAGGGTTTTTTATGCAGAAAAAAATTCAGAAGTGGTTTACCATTCCTTCTTTGGGGGTTCCCTAGAACTGTGCAGCTTGCTGAAGGCCACAGAAGCTGGCTCTTCTTGAACTCCCAACCTCTGATTCCAGATACTTAATTTACTGAGCTATCTAGAGAGCATTTTAAGAATTGTTTTTATTTGGCACAAGCTTTTGTGGACTGTAGCCTGCTTTTTCAGATGCAGGTAAACACGTAAGTGGCAATTGAAACTAGACTTTTTCCATGCAGCCTGTGTACATCTTTGCTATATTGTGTTGTTGTTATCATTAAGTCGTGTCTGACTCTTCGTGACCCCATGGACCAGAGCACGCCAGGCCCTCCTGTCTTCCAGTGCCTTCCGGAGTTGGATCAAATTCATGTTGGTCGCTTCAATGACCCTGTCCAACCATCTCATCCTCTGTTGTCCCCTTCTCCTCTTGCCTTCACACTTTCCCAACATCAGGATCTTTTCCAGGGAGTCTTCTCTTCTCATGAGGTGGCCAAACTCTTGGAGCCTCAGCTTCAGGATCTGTCCTTCCAGGGAGCACTCAGGGTTGATTTCCATCAAAACGGATAGGTTTGATCTCCTTGCAGTCCAGGGGACTCTCAAGAGTCTCCTCCAGCACCACTATTCAAAAGCATCAATTCTTCAGCGGTCAGCCTTCTATATGGTCCAGCTTTCACTTCCATACATCACTAGAGGAAAAACCATAGCTTTGACTATCCGGACCTTTGTCGGCAAGGTATCATCTCTGCTTTTTAAGATGCTGTCGAGGTTTGTCATTGCTTTTCTCCCAAGAAGCAGTTATCTTTTATTTCTGTGGCTGCTGTCACCCTCTGCAGTGATTATTGAGCCCAAGAGCCTATCCTCTTCCCCCTTCCCTTTAAAGTGGCCACCAGATCAGCTGCAGTCCAGTAGCCTGAGAATAAAATCTTAGTGTGCAATGGGGTCAGCAGTGCTGTATTTCCCACCTTGCATAGATGGGGCTCATGGTCAGGAGAGGGAGAGTACTCCTCCCGTCCCCTACCACTCACCCACACATTCATAGACCACTACCGTGTACCACCCCAGCGACCTCTTTTCTCTCCCATTTTTACATCAAGACCTCACTATAGAAACTATAGAGTATGGGAGCTAGAGAGGCAAAAGATCTGTGTGCAGTCTCTCCCTGCAGCTCAGGAAGAAATCGGAGATGGGCGTGTACGTGCATATTTAAGAAGATTGAGGGGAACACAGGACAAGGTTTGCTCACTGCTGGCTTATCGTCTGGAAAGGCTGAGAAGAGTTGACAAGTTTCATACATACAGATTTTGAGAACTAATTGAAATTATCAGTGCCGATTTTACTGATCGCTAGTGATCACTGGCAGATGGCTTTCAGAAAAGGCGATTGATTCAGTAGATTTGCTTCAGCGAAAACAAGAGAGGTTTTAAATGTCCATCGTGCAAGGGATGGGGGTTGTTCCCCTTGAGTGGAATATTTGAGGCTGAAGTAGCCTCTTTATTTTTCAGATGATATAATTAAATTGAACAAGAAAGAAGAGCGGAAACAGTATTCCTCCAGACCGAAGAGAGGAGGAGTTAAGCAGAATGGCGCTTGGCAGTTCAGGATGAGGAGAACCAAGTGGGGAGTTCAGGACTACACAGGTAAACTCTTTGGTTTTGGAGGCACTGGATGGCTGTCCTCATCCCTGAGCGATCACGTCCGTGCCTTGGTGCTGCTTGTTGCAACTTCGTTTTCTCTCTTTCAGGTTTTGGCAAGAACCGCTTGGGGCGGAGGAAGCGGATGGCGGGGAAGAGGCGCCCCTATGCCATTAAAACTGGGTTGGCCGCAAGGAAAGCATTAGGAGCTCACAAAGGCATCAGCCCCCTCAACCGATCGCCTCTCAGTGAAAAGGTGGACATGCGGCATTTATAACATCCCTTTGTCGGGGGTGGGGGGTGGGGTTGGCCAGTGTTTAGGCCAAGTGGGGAAGAATTGCCCTCTCTTTTTTTCGTGATTTGTGTGTCAGGAATTGCTGTGATCCAGTTACCTTTGATGGAATCTAATCACAGAAAGGACCCCTTCCGGAAGCAGAGGTTGTCCTCCATGGCTGGAATCTTGTTGCTTAGCATGAGAAAATGTGTAACTTTCAGTCTGTTTCTAACCAGTGGATAAGAGGTCCCTGCCATGATTCTCAAGATGAACGCACACTCCCATACACAGCCAGTGTGAGCCCATGCCCCCTCCTCCAGTTGTTGTGCAGCCCCTGTGTTTTGCCAGTTAGGAATGGACTGAAGGCCGTGAATTTTCTCATGCTAAACAACAGAATTTCAGCCTGTAAGTGTAATTGGCTATGTTGTATTGATATTTGAGTCTGTTGTCTAGTGCTCAGAAAACACTACAGTCCACCTATCCATCTTCTGCGACAGTTACTGTTTCCAGCGGGAGCAGACGGAAGGATGGTGCAAATCCACATGGCCGAGGAGGGGCCGGGGGAGGTTGTGAATGAGCTAGAATTTGAACGCCATAATGTGAGGTCTCAGATAGTTTGACTGTGTACATTTATGTGCACACCACTTATCATGCTGGAAGTGAGAATAGCTGTTATATGTTCAGTTCATAACTGACAGGTATTAAGGGGATGCTTCCCGGATTTATAAAAATAGGTGCACACAAAATCTCATTTAAACCCACTGATTTCATTCTTATATCTCAAACACTCAGATAAAATTGCTTTCATTTTCTCCTGTCTCCCCCTTCCTAAGATCAGCCTGGTGAATCTGTTTTCATCTCCTCCTCAGCTTTGCCACTCTAACCAGTTCTCTGCAATTTTTTCTTGGGAGTAAATGGCTTTTCTGCTTCTCCTGCCTTACACTGACCCAATACAAATACATTTATTGTCATTGTAAGTCTATACTTAGTATACACATACAACGAAATTCACACAGACACCCAGAGACCCACATGCACACACATAAAAAATCCCCAAACACTTCACCCCACTAAAAAATAGAAACATCTACACCGCAGGCTAAGTAACACTGTCAAACTGTTCACTACTGGTGGTCTTTAAGTTCATTATTAAGTGCAATTATAGCTCTGGGATAAAAACTATTCAGAAAAATGTGTGGTCCAAGTCTTAATTGTTCTGTATCTTCTGCCAGATGGCAACAGTTCAAAGAAGTTATAAGCAGGATGGGAAAAGTCTCTAAGGATGTTCTGTGACGTCCTCAGACAGAGGGATGTGAATATGTCATCCAGGGTTGGTAGCTGGAGCCCGATGATACTCTGGGCAATTTTAATGGTTCTCTGTCCGCTACAGAGCTACTTCCAAACCATACCAGGATGCCATAGGTTAGGACACTTTCAATGGTGCTACGATAGTAGGACAGAAGTAAATGCTGAGATAAATTTAAGTTCCCGAACATTCTCGGGAAATACAGCCTCTTCTGTGCCTTCTTCACTAGCATGTTAGCGTTTATAGTCCATGAGAGGTCCTCTGAGATGTAAGTGCCCAGAAATTTAAAGCTACCAACCCTCTCCACTTCCTCGCCATTTATGGACAGTGGTAAATGTACATTTCTCTTCCTCCTAAAATCAATTATGAGTTCTTTAGTTTTTTTGATATTAAGTGCAAGATTATTTTCTTTACATCAGAGTATCAACCCTTAAACTTCCTGTCTGTAAGCAGACTCATTGTTCTTATTTATGAGCCCCACCACTGTCTAGTGTAAACACTGAGGCTGGGCTGAAGAGGGAAAGTGCATTTAGGACACAACTGTTTTCTGACAGAGTGGAAGTCTGGTCCGAGAGATGGGAAGTAGCTGTCTCCTGCCAGAACCCTCTCTCAAAACAAGGGTGTGAAACTACTGGCATGACACGGCGGCTTTAATCACTCATTCAAGGCACACACTAGCCTCCTGTGACTAAAGGCCTCTCAGCAGTGTATGGGGAGAGCGAGAGGAGTCGGGTTTAGAAAGTCATCTTCAAAGACAGAAAAGGGAGAGGACAGGAAGGAATGGTCTCCAGACCTGTTTTTTTTTTCCTTTTCCCCCCAATCCTGGAATGCAGTATCTCGAGTAACGGCATGTGTCAGAACCAGAGCTTAGAAAAGTGGCTTCGGCCTCAGCTCCCCAGGGTCAATGCTGGCTGGAGCTTTCTGTGAGTTTGTTTTTCTGAACCAAAAATCATGCTTCCATGCTCTGATAAGAACCAGCTCCCTTTCCTTTTTTTGAGGCCACGGGAAGTGGTTTAGGAGGGCAAGGGGGAAAAAAGTCCTCAGAAGGCCACTGATCTCGGGGGCATTGACTCCCAAGTAAATGTGTATAGGATTGCGGGCTCAATTTCTTTTTTGTTTCCTAAGACCTTTCTCGTATGCTTTTGGTTCTAGGTGGAGCCCCTGCAAGAGGCCTTAGAACCAGTCCATGTAAGAGAGTGTCAAAATCAGTCAGATAAAAATCTAGTCAAGAAGACATGTGAGCCAAAAAAAAAAACCCAAACAAAGAGGAAGAATCAAATTAAAAGCAGGAGCAGAATTAGAGTTAAAAAAAACTGGGCATAACCAGAAAGGCTTTGACGCACTGCCCCCAACAACAACAACAAACTTTTGAGTCTTGTACTAAACTAGGAGGTCATTGTCCAAGTGGGTAGATTTGTGAAAACTGGCAGCCAGGAAACATCACAGAATTTTGTCCTCTTTTCAGTTTTATGCAAGTATGATTGATTTAGGTGTGCATGAGCAGATGGACTTTCAAAATGGGGTGGGGGTGACTAATGCTTGTATGAACTGGTTTGCAAAGATGTCTTTCATGATTCCCAGTGTACAGCTTTTGACCAAGGATATTGAAGAATCCATTCAATTTTATGTGGTTTTGTAGCATTAAATGATTGTTTAGTTTCAGATTTTGGCACACCACATTGTATTGCTCAGAGAAGCTGATCAAGCATGTAAAGGTAAAGGTTCCCCTTGACATTGAGTCAAGTCGTGTCCGACTTGAGGGCGCGGTGCTCATCCCCGTTTCCAAGCCATAGAGCCAGCATTTGTCCGTAGACAGTTTCCCTAGTGACGTGGCCAGCGCAGCTAGACACAGAACGCCGTGACCTTCCCACCGAGGCGGTCCCTATTTATCGACTCACATTTTTATATGCTTTCAAACAGCTAGGTTGGCAGGAGCTGGGACAAGTGACAGGGAGCTCCCTCCATCGTGTGGATTCGATCTTGCGACGGCTTGTCTTCTGACCTTGCAGCACAGAGGCTTCTGTGGTTTAATCCGCAGTGCCACCACGTCCCTGTTGATCAAGCATACAGAAAAATAAATCTGATAAAGAAAAAGCATACAGGAAAAATAAATCTGGCTTAGACCTCCCAATGAAACGAACATACAGAGCAGGAGATTAACAGGAGATGATCAGCTTGAAAGTTTAAAGCAGCTCTACTTGCCAGAAGCTGATTTTATGAAAAGACAGGCTAAACAGCTTAATTTCCATACTGTGCATACAGTATAAACATGGAAAAACATAGTATTGCAGGACTAAACCAAAAGGCACCAGGATTCAGAGAAGGTATTCAAAGCATAAGAGACTTCCTGTGAAATCCTTGGTCCAAAGATTTCTTCCTTGCTTGTGCAAAGGTAGCCAAGTAAAGCAGGTCTTCAGTGGCCTAAAGTCAAACAGCTGGGACATGTGTTACTCAGTGTAATTGGAGCAATTCATTCTAACAGACCTTGTACAATGTATATACACATACTGTATATGGCCAAAGAAATCTATTGCCACAAACATGGAGCGCGACTCAGGTTGCTACTCCTGTGCATATAGGTTTATTTATTTATTTATTTATTTAATTTACAATATTTTTTAGCCGCACCATTGCCAGTGGCTTCTGGGCGGCGTACAACATTAAAACCTAAAAACATTCAAGTCAAGTGGTATAATACTTATGGTAACCCTTTGGGGTATTTCAAGGTACTCTGTTTCCCCAAAAATAAGACCTAACTTGAAAAAAAGCCGTAGTATGATTTTTCTGCCATAGTATGATTTTCTCATAATGTAAGCCCTACCCCAAAAATAAGCCCTAGTTAAGTGAACCCCCGCCCTCCACCCTTGTGCAGCAACCAGAAGACGAGGACAGGACTGTCTTTGAATAAATGTAGATAGATGTACATGAAAAATAAAACATGTCCTGAAAATAAGCCCTAATGCATTTTTGGAACAAAAATTAATATAAGACTTCTATTAATAAGTCTTATATTAAGACTGTTTTATTTTTGGGGAAACATGGTAGGTGAGATACCAAAGGGGTGATTTTATCCTTGCCACACACATCCCTGTGAATTTTCATGGCAGAGCAAGGGATTTGAGCCCAGGTCTTATGAGTTCTGTCCGCTACATCACACACCCTAAGAGTGGATAGAGAGAGCTGTTCCCCCCGTTTTCATTTTATCTCCCCTTTATTACTTGAGAAGGAGAGGTCTGCTTTAGAGGCAGAACCAAGCAGTCCAAAGGTACCTATTTCACAGTTGGGGGTCACCATTATATAATCAGATGTAATGTTGATACTATACTCCAAACGTATTAAACAGCAGAAGAAATTCTCCTGAAGCAACCGTTGGGATTTGCTTGGGGGGGGTGTGTGGAGAAGCGAGCCACCTAAAGGCAGTTCTGCTAAAAGTCCCCAACAAAGGAAAAGTCAAGTGCTGAGACCATGGAAGTCTACGTAGACCTGTCCTTATAGGGATTTTGCTGTGGTGGTATAAGATTTTGGTTTAGAAATACCTTTAGTTTTTAAGGCCTGACTTTTACCAACCAATCTCCATTACTCGGCATGTGTGGATTGTGGGTTTTTACATTTCACATTGTGTTTCTTTGCCTAATGCGCTGTTTGTCAAACGCATACACACACACACACTGTCAAGCACGCACACACACACACACGCACACAAAACATGCTGTGGCATCTTGAATCAAATCCATCCTGCTTGAAAGCTAACTGCATTATGGTAGCAGATGCTTTTGTTAATTTGAGCAGATTAAATGGCCTCTAGTCCACAAAACTATTACAATAAATCTGTTAGTCTTTAATGTGCCACAGCTTTCAAGGATAGAGGATGGGTTTTTGGGGAAATGAGCCAGCCCAGTAGTTCTCTAGAAGTATATTAGGCCTCACCTGCTATCTGTTTTTTTCTATTTCCTTTAAGAACGTACAGAGAAAATACTCAGTTTTAAAAAGAAAGGCAACTCTTCAGAGGCCATCCGAATTACAGAGCAAGCAGGGACCCATCCTCAGAAGACCCACCTTGTTAAACAGAAGGTAAGCCCTACGTGCCCTTTGTGAGTGTCTCGAACTACTTAAAGAGGTCAAGTTTATTATATCTAAATGCAATAAATAAATAAATAAATATATTTTCTGTATCATATTCTGCTTTGACAGCTGGGGTGGTGTTATGCCAGGCCTTTGGAAATCAATAATTTGGTCAAGGTAATGTCATCTTGACCAAACTCTGGGAGACAATGGAAAACAGGACGGCCTGGCGTGCCCTGGTCCATGGGGTCACAAAGAGTCAGACACGACTTAACGACTAAACAACAACAACGATGTCATCTTAGAAATTTTTAAAAATGCAAACGATTCTCACATATTGAATTGTACGGCCTTCCTCTTCTGTGCTGTTTGAATAAATATGTGCTGAACTTTATATAAAAGTAGTAAAGAAGTAGATTTTAAAAGTCGTTAATATGTGGCCAGCGGTCACTACGGGTCTCTGATGCCGAAGAGCTACTGTCTTCCAAGGCCTCACTAGTTGTCTGTTTTTATGTGTATCCATTAGCAATCGCTTTTAGTTATGATGGAGTCATTGGGCACAAGGCATAACTAAAAAGGGGCTGAATCTGTTAGCTTCTGCAGTACACAAGCACTGCAGTTGCTGCTAAAGTTATCTGGCCAGGTCACTTTGTCTTGATGAATGGCCATCTTTGTACCTAGAATGGGTTGCGCATTTCCAAGAGTTAGAGAAGACAACAGAACACATTGGGGATATGCATCCTGAGTAGGGTCCAGTAACCTTTCAGAAAGAGGGTTTTAGGCTGTGATCTCACAGTTATTTACCTGGTTGGCTAATGTTCCCGTACTTCAGAGTTAGCCATGCACAGAATTGTACTGCTGGTCATTCTCCTCTCTTGATACCTACTGGTTCTGATCTGTTGCATGGTTTAGTGTGAGTAAAACACTATCTACATCGTATGTTAACATGGTGGATCCCAGTCTCCTTTCACTGTCATCCGTCCAGCACATGGGGCCTTTGTTTTGAACCGGGTTTCTCAGCCAGATGCTCAACATCACATCCCTCCTCCAATATCACATCCCTCCTCCCCTTTCCCACATCTTAGCTAGCCTGTGTGTCATCTCAGGTTTTTCTCACAGAAGAGCAGAACATGCACCACAAATTCCTCTTTTTCACTTGGAGGAAGAAAATCATCATGTGGAACATTTTCAGCTAAGTTGATGTGCTGATCCTTTATATGGGGACGTTTAGGGACAGCCGTCATGTAGCTGTACCCAAGTGGTTTCTGAGAGGTTCATCTCCCAGAATCCTTCATCCAGTAACCTTTCGACATATTTTGCTATAGGTCTGTATTGATTTTATATTTGGCCCTTGCAAATAGAAACTGAGACTTGGGGGATGGAAGTGAATACTTCATAGAATAATGAAGTTGGAAGGGGCCATTGAAGCCAATCCCCTGCTCAAGGCTGGAATACAAATCCATGAAGACCTGACAGATGGCTGTCTACCTCTTGAATGCCTCCAGCATTGGAGCAATCACCACCTCCTGAGGTCATTTGTTCCATTGTCGTACTGCTCTAACAGTTAAGATGTTTTTTCCTGATATTCATTGGATATCTGGCTTCGTGTAACTTGAGCCCATTGTTGTGTGTCCTGCACTCAGGGATGACCAAGAACAGATCCTGCCCCTCCTCTGTAGGACTACCTTTCATGTCTTGGAAAAGTGCCATCATTCCCCCCCCCCCAGGTCTTATTTTCTCTGAGCTAAACATTCTCAGTTCTTTCAGTCTTTCCTCCTAGGGCTTGGTTTCCAGTCCCCTGGTCATCCTTGTTGCTTTCCTCTGAATTTGTTCCCATTTGTCAGCATCTTTCTTGAACTCCCGTGTCCAGAATTGGACACAGTACTCAAGGTGAGGCCTAACCAGTGCCGAATAGAGGGGGGCTAGTACCTCATGGGATTTGGAGACTCTACTTCTGTTAATGCAGCTTAAAATAGTATTTGCCTTTTTTTTGCAACCACATCACACGGTTGGCTCCTGTTCAGCTTGTGATCTATGACAATTCCACGATCTTTGCAGAAGCTGTGACTGGATCCTTATTAGGGCAATATCGATGCAGATTTCAGCTGTAGTGGTGGATGGGATCATAACATTGAATTTGGCAGCAGTTACATTTTGCATTGTATTGTTCGTGAGCCAGAACTGGGGCTACCTTGCTCTAGCATGCGCCGTCTCCAACCAGACATAGGTTCTACATGAAAAAGGGCCTTTACACAGAAAACATGGAGCCTGCCTTCTTAACTCCAGATCAGTGACTTGTCCTCTTAGACGTCTTTTTAGGGTTGTTACTGCATTTGCTTGATCCTCTTGTTATCTTGTGTACGTTGTTACCAGTGCCGTTAACTAGAAGCCACGGTGTGTTCTGCCACTAAGTGTTCTTACTAGTATTCCTTTTGTCGCCACTACCTTTTGCCTTTATCTCTTTTACTGGCAAAAATTCTGTCTGTCATTTCCTTGGGAGCAAGAGAACTTGTCTGTTCATTGTGCTGCACTGTAAGAGTGACTGAGGCTTTATAGAAATGACAATCATTCTTTATAAATCTTTACAGAAATAATATACAGTCCCCTTCTGCCAGAATTGGAAGTAAGTTATACCAGCAGAAAGACACACGCCAAGCAACATTCCTCTTCCGGAGAGGCCTGAAGGTACTGTAGAAGACATAGAAATTATGCTATCAATTATTCTTCCATTCTTCCCTTTGGTCTAAATAGTTAGTAATCTAGATAACGTTGGTTAACATCACCTTTTGCTGTGTTTTGCTTCAGACACCGGCATATCTTAAGGTTTTCTCAATGTTGCTGAAAGAGTTAGGTCAGTGTGCAGTTTTTAATAAGCTATCAACAGCTGTTATTAGGTATGTTGTATGTTTAAGATACAACACAAGGATGTGGGAAAGCTGTATTAAAAATTGCAAGTTTTCTGTGGATACAGAGTTGATAGACGGGATTTGCATAGACTTGGTTCATGGGTTTACAAGACTTTGAGACAAAAATGTAAGAGCTGGAGGACTGGCTTACAGTGAGTGAGCCATGCACTCTCTTCTAGAATGGTACAGAAGTTGCTACAGCTCTGATTTTACTTAGCTGATGTGAACATGAGAGGTTCGAACTGTCCCTGCTTGAAACAAAGGCACAGACAGTTCTAAAACGAGGCAGGGAGCCCTGTGCAGAAAAACAAGGGTGGGTGGGAGCAACAGCTTTCTCAGTCTCTTTATTCCTTGAGATTATTGTGATATTTTTTGACTCTGTTTTTGTATTACTTATGTTCACAGCAGTGAGGATTCAGAAGAAAGGGACCGTCAGAAATGTGTATCTCCCCCATATATCTTAGGACTAATTGGTTGCCTGGACTCTAGTCTGTCAGGCAGGGAGTTCTGTGCATACTTGTAGAAACTTATTGGAAGGTCTTGGCTGTTTTGGCAATCTCGACGACCGCCGTAGTGGACTGCAGAGTGGTGGCAATCCCCTCCTTTGCTCTCTCTCTCTCTGTGTGTGTTTTAACATTCCCACCAACATAATTCTGGTTGCTTGTTTTTGATGTCAGTATGGCTGAATTTGTCTTTTTCACCTCTAGGTGCAAGCGCAAGTCCTCCCAGAAGATGACGTGAATGACCAGAGCGCTAAAAGAACCCGCCCGTAGGTGTTCAGTTGAATTGACCCGAACAATCGCTAAGACCTTACAAACGCCGTGTTCTCACTGCTGCTTTAGTTTACTCTGCTTTGTCCAGATGGTGGACGTGTGACTCATTCTGGCAACTGGAAACCTCTGGTCCTCTTTGGGTGGTGGCTTTTTTTTAAATCATGTTAGAAAGCAGGAGGCAGGGGTGCTGCAGCAGGAGTGAGAGTGTCCGAAAACAGTCCTGTCCTGGTGTTAATTCAGAGTGCCTTGTGATCTCCTAATCTTCAGATGTGGTTGCTAAATGTCTTGCTACTTCCGGAGCTGAATCCGTCATTTGCTCCAAATGGTCCTGGAACACACCCTAGGACCCTAGGGTGTGTTCCATAAGATGGACCTCTCCATAAGGCTCACCAAGTTTTAGGAGAAGAAAGCAGATATTTTTTTTCCTGTTTTCTTCTCCTAAAAATTTGGTGCGTCTTATGGAAAGGTGCGTCTTATGGAGCGAAAAATACGGTAGTTAAGGAATTTGGCTTGTAGGAGAGCCTGTAGTCCTGGGCATGTTTCTTTGAGAGCGAGTCCCATTGAATTTCATGGATATGCCTTCTGAAACATGCAGAGGTGTAAGTCGCCGTTTCTTGCTTGGTGGAAGGCTGTGGAGAACCTTACTTGGGAGTGGGTGGCTCTGAGCTTCTGGCCGTGAGCTACCGTGTGACAAGTTTGAGCTATTAGGAAGAACGGGAGGGGTCTCAGTGCTCCTGACATTTTTCTGCCCTTCCTCTTTCCTAAGCTAAAAGGCAGGAATGGCTTGCTCACTACAGGATTTAACTGTTACTTTGACTGGGAATGTGCACAGTAAAAATGTTTTCTTTGTGGGTGGCGGGCACCTCTTTCATTTTCATGTCTTTCGTGTTCTGGTCCTTTCATTAAACCACTCATCCACAAGCCCTAAAGACTGCTTTAAAACCTCTCCAGAAAAGCTGGACAAAGTCAGACGATCCACAGTAAATCAACCAAAGAATATATTTTTTTAAAAAATCAGTCTAACAGGGAAAGCACCTCCCCACCACCGCATAGTCATGAGGAAAAAGCAAAATAAAATGCAGTTTTCCTGTGGGTGGGAACAGGAAAACGGTGGCCCTCCATGTGTTGTCAAACTACAACTCTCATCTGGCTAACACAACATAGTAGGGATTTCGAACTAGCTGTTTGCACAGCTCTATTGTTTGGGCCAGTTGTTTGGTGCTTTGGAGCTTTTTGGCCAGAATCCCATTTGTTTTTATCCAAGGTTTCCATAACTTGCCGTAACTGCTTTCAGCTAGGTGACAAGATGCCGGGGTGCATCCTGGTAGTGAAATCTGGTACATGACCGGGCGCCCAACCCAGGCATTTCCCAACATGTCTTATTATTTGCAGTGAGCCACAGCAGATTGTGCAAACTTAATGCAAACGCCAACAAGATTCTGATCGCTTTAATCTAAAAGTCTCAGCAAAGGAGAAATCTGTGTTATGGAATGTCAGGGGGGTTCATGTCCAGATAGTGTTAATAAAGGGTTCTTCTGCTCCCCAACCAGGTGGCGGACATCCACAACAAATGGAGGAATCCTGACAGTATCGATTGACAATCCTGGTGCAGTCCCACAACCCATGTGAGTAAAATGGCTTCATTATATATTACAAAAAACCTCTTCCCAAACTTTGTTGGTGAGAATCGTTGGGGGATCAGAAGGAGATACTGTTCATACGGCATAGAAGTGGAGCCTCCCAATTGTGCCCTAATAATTTGGACCCCCACCCCACCCACCCCTCTTCGTTATTGCTGTGGCTTGCATCTTTGGTCACAACCCATGTGAGTAAAATGGCTTCATTATATATTACAAAAAACCTCTTCCCAAACTTTGTTGGTGAGAATCGTTGGGGGATCAGAAGGAGATACTGTTCATACGGCATAGAAGTGGAGCCTCCCAATTGTGCCCTAATAATTTGGACCCCCACCCCACCCACCCCTCTTCGTTATTGCTGTGGCTTGCATCTTTGGTCTCCTATGTTTTAATTTCTGGGGAAATGCGCATTTCTGCTGAAAGCCATTCAAAGTGCCATTACATTTTTTCTGCCCAACAGTTCTTTGAAGCCAAGGCTAACCAGTACTCCTATCCCTCCGTTTCTCATGAAGAGGGACCAGTCGGAAGAGAAAAAGATTCCTAAAGGAGTTCCATTGCAGTTTGACATCAACAGTGTCGGGAAACAGGTGGGCTATTCTGAGCCAGTCCACATACACGACAAAACAGTTCTGGTGTTGACAGTTAACACGGACCCCCAACCTGAAGCCTAGGCTTCTTTATTGCCCTTCACAACTTGCTATCAAACTGCTAGGTGGTGGGTTTTCTTTCTGAAATGGCTCTCAACTATGTGCACATTCCAAATGGATGTTCGGTCCCCGAGACAGCGTTCATTTCAAAGTGTTGCTGTTTGTCTATCCTCATTCACTTGCTATATTCCCTAAACCTAGCGTATTCCTCTCTTTTAAACAAAGGAAACCTTCCTGTATTGCTCCTTTTTCTCTCCTGTACATTTTTTTTTTGCAACACCCTTCCCTTTGTTTCACCTCTCTTCTGATTTTTTCCAATGTTTGCTTAACTTGTTTAGTGTGGCGAAAACCCTCTAGCCAAGTTTCTTCTTCGAATTACAGTGGTGCCCCGGATAGCAACGATAATCCATTCCGGATTAATCGTCGCTATCTGGAAACATCGCTAAACGGAATTAAAAAATCCATAGGAACGCATTAAACTTCGTTTAATGCGTTCCTATGGGGCCCAAACTCACCGCTATGTGGAGATCCTCCATTGTGCCGCCATTTTCGCCGCCTCAGTAAGCGAGGAATCTGCGCAAAAAAACTTGCGGTGGCCATTTTGGAACCGCCGATCAGCTGTTTTAGAAACATCGCAATGCGAAGATCGGTAAGCGAAACGCTTACCGATCATCACAATGCGATGTTTTGCCTATTAAAACATCGCAATGCAATTGCATTAGCGATCTAAAAAAATAGATCGCTATGTGAATTTGTCAAACGGTGCGCTCGCTAAGCGAGGCACCACTGTACTTTCCAGGTTTTCTCAGCCACCCTTTTTTTGCTCAACCCTTTTGAACTGGGTCCTCCTTTCTATTCCTCCCCAATCACGTTCCACAGAAGCAATTATCTTCCCTTTGTTCCTGCTTGGCCGCCAGAAAACGGTGGCACATAGTGGCATACCCTTTGAGCCTTACTGATGTGGTCTTGAGATCCCTATCAGGCCATTACAGTTTGTCCCAGCTCCTGTTTCAATCATATGAACCCTCCAACTGATACTTCAACAGATACAGCAGGATCCCCTTATCGGCAGGATCAGTATCCGCTGATTCACTTATCCATGGTCTAAAAATATTAGAACAAAAGGCCAGGAAATACATCTTTCTAAAGATGAAGTTACCAGAATTGGTAACTAGAGAGAGTCAGAAACCCTGTTACATATAGTGTTGGCTATGAAAATGATGTCCACTATTATCTGCATTTTTCAACCTCCGTGGGGGGCTTGGAACTGATCCCACATGAATAAGGGTGCCCTACTATATGATTTCTACACTATTTTGGCTGGAGTTTTAGAAGAGGTAGCCATGTTAGTCTACGCTAGCATGTCAGGCAAAATCAAATGATTTAAAAAAAAAAAAAAAAGGAAGAGAAAAATGTTGTGGCACCTTAAAGACTAACTGCTGTATTTTAAAGTGAACGTTCATGGACAAGTCCCTCTGCCTATCTGAGAAGCAGAGTTGTCCATGAAAGCTCACAGTAAAATACAGTGGTGCCTCACTTAACGGCAATAATCTGTTCCAGGAAAATCACCGTTAAGCGGAAACATCGTAAAGCGAAAATAAAAAGCCCATTGAAACGCATTGAAAACCTTTCAATGCGTTCCAATGGGCTTAAAACTCACCGTCCAGCGAAGATCCTCCATACAGCGGCCATTTTCGCTGCCTGTATAGCGAGGAATCCGTCCCTAAACACAGCAGGGAGCCATTTTATTTATCCAGCGGCCATTTTGAAACCGCAGATCAGCTGTTTAAAAAACATCGTTTTGTGAAGAATCGGTTCCCGAAGCAGGGAACCGATCATTGCAAAGCGAAAGGCCCCCATTTAAACCATCGTTTTGCGATTGCAAAAAGATTGTCATAAAGCGGTTTCGTCGTAATGCAGGGCAAACGTAAAGCGAGGCACCACTGTTGGTCTTTAAGATGCCACAGCATTTTTCTATTCTTTAATTTTTTTAAATGTTGTTTTATTTTGGCTGGGTTACTTGTTATTAATACAATGTGGGGTTTTATCTATTGTTTATTTCTGTGGATTTTGAAACTGTGCTGCAGGGATTGGCTACTGGATAGTAGACAAATACTGTATTTTAAATAAATAGAAATAAAGGCAAGGAGGGTAGATGAAATACTAGCAAAATATCATTTTTGCTCTTTGTGGTTTTCTAATCTCTTTCTAATGAGGAAATGTAGTAATCTATAGCCTTTTCTGCTTACAGACAAACATGACCCTCAATGAGCGTTTTGGGATCCTGAAGGAACAAAGGACGGCCCTCTCTCAGAACAAAGGCAGCCGTTTTGTAACTGTGGGCTAGGGTTTGTTCAAGAGACCCCATCTTTCTAAGGAACTGAATTCTCAGTGAACCGAAAAGTATGGGATATGTTGGACCTTGTGTCAAGATGTTGATGAAGCTGAATATTTTTTTTAAAACTCGTTTTACTTTAAATAGTTAAAAAGAAACACAACCCTCCCATGACAGTGGAACGTAAAAAAGAGAAAATGCAGTATAGGTAATAAGTAGTGTCATGTTACCTGGATGGAAACTAAACTCCATGCAGTCCCAGGAAGAAGAGAAAAGACCAATAGAATCACCTTGGTTTCTTAAGGCCCAGTGGATGTTGGAATTAATGTGGCAGCTGTTCATTGCGCCACCCACCACTGCAAAGCGGCCACTTGTGTGTTATTTGATTGCCGGTTGCTGCCCATGACTTCATTACTATAAATCTGGTGAGGAGCACAGCCCTTCTTCCAGTTGCACTTCTGCTACTTAAGCTGCAAGGTCCTTGATACTCTGAAACGCTGCAGTTCACCTGACACTGGAGTGCAAAATGTTCGGAAACTGGGGCAGTAAAAGAACAGTGCAGAGTCACATAGCTGTAACAGGCTGTTGTCACGTACTTTCAAGTGACAGCATGCAGGCTTGAGGCCTCTCGCAGGACCATAGCATGAATCTGGTCCCTGCGCGTAAGAAATGAACACATTGGTCTCTGTGGGGTAAAAATTTAAGCCAATGCAAGTTAGGTTATCTGCTGCTTCCTTTGTTCCTTTATTTTTAAGCTGCCAGTTTGCTTCCTGTCTTCATTAGAGGAAACTATGCTTTAGTGACCATTTAATGTTGCCAGATAAATTATTTTGGATGTTACTCTGTTGTGTTGTAAAGATGTGCACTTTGTGACCCCTATACTTAGCGGTAGTTTCAACAGGTGAGCATCACAAAGATTCAAGGGACTTTCCTGTTGTTTCAAGGGATCAGAAGTGGTGGAGTTGACATATCAGCACACCCCCTACATTTAACGTGCACTGGATTTTTAAAATTCAAAACTTGTGTCAAGGTTTTCAGGATGGCCGCAAGGGTCAGGCAGCCCCAAGCTTCCCCTTCGGACTTCACTGAGATTAGCTATGTTCAGAGCACGAGCAAAAGCAGTGGGATTGCCTGTCGCCTACTTTGTGGACTAAATCGGTCTATAGCGTTGATGCTCAGATAGATAAATGGATACTAGAAGATTTGCTGCATCTCAGAAAACTAGTGCGTTTAACACAGTATCTTTTTTTCCTATTAAAAAAAAATCCCAAGCAATTAGTTTATTGTAGCATTCAAGATAAAGATCTCTTTGACAGTAGTGGGCCTTCTTCAGAGCAGTTTAAAACAGTCATGTATCCATGACAATTTATTGTTCAGGTTCTTGTTTTTAATTCTTCAGTAACTTTGCAATAGAATAACATTTGGAATATAAAGTTTTTTTTTACTATGTTAGTTGATGTTCTGTTGAAGAAATCCATTAGAATTGAAGTAGGCAGAATGCTGATCGTCATCCTGTATTAGATTTCCACCAGGATGCAACTAAAAATAAATAAAAAATAAAAAAAGAATAAAATCCTTTTGCATCAACATGGATGCAAAACATTGATGCAATGCATCTCAAGAGAGCTAGTTTGTATTTAAGGAGAATATGCTTTAAAACTGTACCTTTTGGTATTTTCTTTTTGAGAAGTTAATACAGTTTGATCTATTCTAAAGCTGTCAAAACTTTTTTAAAAATAAAAATGTTACAAGTTTGCTGCTGTGTGTATCTGGAACTGAATTTTATAACTCTTTGTATTCCACATAGAATGAATTAGTAATTCTTTTTCATCCATGTCAGAAGCAATCTGGAATAGAAGGATCAGTTGTCAGGACGCTATTGTTCCCCAAGGCGTGCTTTTTGACAATATGCTGAACTCACATTCAGAGAACATTATTGGAAAATTCACTGGCTTAAACATGACTCCTTAATAGATGTGCCGTATGCATAGATGGGTGAGCGAGTGTGGTGTAGTGGAACAGAGTGACAAACTAGGACTCGGGAGACCTGGGTTCAAATCCTGCTCAGCCATGTAAGCTGACTGTGGGATTGGCAGTGGTAAAACCACTAAAAATACCTCCCCTATGCTGAAAACCCTGTTGAGTTCACCCAAAGTTGGGTGCAACTTCACAGCACATAATAAAAAGCACAGATGATCATTTTAATAAAATAGAGCTTTTTAAATGAAAGAAAGCAGTCACTGCTTCTGAAGAAGATACTTTTCTTCAGTTCTTTTTTTTTTAATGTCTTGTTGTTTAGTCATTAAGTCGTGTCTGACTCTTCGTGGCCCCATGGACCAGAGCACGCCAGGCCCTCCTGTCTTCCACTGCCTCCCAGAGTTTGGTCAAATTCATGTGGGTCGCTTCAATGACACTGTCCAACCATCTCATCCTGTCGTCCCCTTCTCCTCTTGCCCTCACACTTTCCCAACCTCAGGGTCTTTTCCAGGGAGTCTTCTCTTCTCATGAGATGACCAAAGTATTGGAGCCTCAGCTTCAAGATCTGTCCTTCCAGGGAAGACTCAAGATTGATTTCCTTTAGAATGGATAGGTTTGGTCTCCTTGCAGTCCAGGGGACTCTCAAGAGCCTCCTCCAGCACCACAGTTCAAAAGCATCAATTCTTCGGCGGTCAGCTTTCTTTATGGTTCAGCTCTCACTTCCATACATCACTACTGGAAAAACCCTAGCTTTGACTTTGCGGACAGTAAAATCTGTCACTGCCTCCATATCTTCTCCTTCTATTTGCCAGGAAGTGATGGGACCAGTGGCCAGGATCTTAGTTTTTTTGATGTTGTGCCTAATTATTGATTAAATAGGAGAGGTCCTAGAAATCTCACTGAAGATACTTCCAAGCTTCTTTATTGTCAGCTTGCTGTGTTGTCTGAGATCTGATCACGACTAATCTATATCCCACTTAAAGCAGCTCAAAGACTAACGGGAAATGTCATTCTTTTGTCTCCGAGGCTTTATGAGCCCAGTTCTTCCACTCATAGCTTTGCCTGGGATAGATTAGATACAGAGCTACTCGCCCATGTATTTTGGACCTTTCTAGGTGTAAATTATGAGGGTTAGATGGTAGTGGTCACAAAAGCAGGTTAACTGTTATCTGAATTTACTTTTCCTGTATCTTTGCCCGGCCTACATCTGGTACCCCTCTCCTTAAAAGTTGCCACAAACAAACAAACAGAGACTGTCCCTTGTATTTTCCTGCATCTGGAAAACGTGTAAAGCAGATAAGAATGGTATGCCTGTGTTGTATAAGACTGCTTTTTGGTATGCGGCTGGCAGAGAAAAAGAAAGCTGCGCCCTCTTTGATTCCAGCACATGGCAGGAAAATAAGTAAGTTTGTAAAGGAGATGGTGGTGGATGGAGGCTTTGTGTTATAAACAAAATAAATGGGAGATTTCCATAGCATGAAGCCAATATGCGGTGACATTTTAAAAAAAAAGTTATGTCTGTTATTCTTCAAGCCTGTTTCCACACTTTGATCTTGAAAAGGGCTGTTATCAGAATTCGTAGCAGTCCATACCTGGCAGATCAAAGCGGGCCCAGACAATGCAGTATGTTGCAGACATCACGCAAGTCAGATGAACGCAGGCGGAGTGAGGAAAGTGGTAGATGGAATCCACAAAGACCCGTGTTCTAGAAGGCTTTGTTGGTGATTTAATAACACAGAACGCTAATTTTGTCCAAGGCTGTAACAAAAATGTGACATACAGGAACTTTTGCAGTGAATATTTTGCTTACACAGGCTGAAAAAGGGGCCCTGTGTCTCTGCCATATCCTGTTCACAGTTTTGGTGACTCCTCACAATCAGAAACGGATGGGTGAACAAGTAGTCGATCAGGCAGTGTCATTCATTCTGCACGTGGCATAGAGCAAGCAAAGTACTGTATGTACAGCCTAGGCTTTTTTTTGTGTGCAGCTTCCAACTCTATGTCAGGCCCCTCTATTTTTCCCAACCCAAAAAGTGAATGAATGATCCTGGAAGCCTCCAGGGATTTCAATTCATCCTTGAAACAGATCACAGCCCCCCCCTCCCATGATTCAATACCAAAAAAAGTTTCTGAAACCTAAAAGTGGACTTCTAGCCACTTCTGATTTGTTTTGTTAATGTCTGTGTGGCCTTTGAAGGATCCCGGGGGAGGGGGGAATCAAGATCTGGATCTGTTGCATACCTTGATAGGAGATATTCACAGGTGTTAATTCTGGAACAATGGTTCCCAACCGTCAGTTCCCAGATATTCTTGGGCTAAAACTCCCCAAAGCCTTCACCACCAGCTGTGCTGTCCGGCGGTTTCTGGGAGTGGTAGCCCGAGAACATCCCGGGTGACCCTCGGCTGGGAACCCCTGCTTTGGCACAACCTCCTTGCTCCTGTAGGTGAAAAGGAGGGGGGAGCTGCTTTCGTCACTGCCCCATCATCTGTCTCATTTGGAAAGTTTCTTAAACTCCCAAATTGGACAGCAAAGGAAATGCATGCTGTCCTTCCAGCATTCTTGACTATTTTTTTGAACAGTATCCTAGCTATTAGAATTCTGCCCCACCTACGTTTGGCAGCTTGCCATCACAACTCCCCTGCTTGCTACTCTGACAGCTCAATGCAGAGGCTGGGAAAGACATGTTGATACTCTGACTGGTGTCTGAGGAATCCCTGAGAGTACATAGGACTCGCCCCCTCCTCTGGTGGAATGTCACCGAGCTACCTAGGCAACCATTCATTTGCTGGCTTCCAGTTATAAATTAGGTTAATCTAACGTTGGTCTGGATTCCCAGTGTGGGGGGTGTAGTGGACAGAATAGGACTCGGGAGGAGGTCTGGGTTCGAATCCCCGCTCAGCCACGGACACTCAATGGGGGGGAGCTGGCACTTGGTAAAGCTGCAAGAGGCGATTTTTTAAAAAAAATCCCTTAATTTCTCCCGCTCTAGCTTCCGCCCTCTTGCTTGTCCTCCTGCTCCTTCTGCGCGCACGCGCCTTCCTCCCCCGAGTCGCCCTGGGACGGGGCACTTCCGCCCTTCTCCTCCAGCGCAGGCGCTCTCCCG